ACTACCTCTACTACTACCACTACTACTACTACTACTACTACTACTACTGCTGCTGCTGCTGCTGCTACTACTACTACTACTACTACTACTCCTACTCCTACTCCTACTCCTGCTACCACTGCTGCTACTGCTGCTGCTGCTACTGCGACTGCTGCTACTGCTACTTCTACCGCTACCGTTGACGCGGCGGCTCCTGCTTCTGCTGGGTGTACTGCTAATATAGGGGCCCTAATAATTACTTTTGATTTTGGTGGTTCCTTATTATATCCATGGTATAATATACCCCAAAACCCTAGTCTAATTATTGAGGCCCCAGCATTAGTGCTGGTGCAACCCATACTCCTGCTGCCGCTGGGGTGCTGCTTTCACCACGAGTAGTCGTGTATGCAATTGTTTCGGAACCGTTTCTGTCGCGAGAGAGGTTATGATGATGATGACGATGATGGTGGTGATGATAATAGTTAGACGGCGACTTCGCGCAATGCATCCTGAACTTCTGAGTGAGTTGGTGCAGTGAAACACAGGCGTCCGCACACGTAGTTCAGGCTCTGCAGCCAGACAAAATGAAGCTAGACAACAAGTTTACCGTTTACCCGGTTTGAGTGCACCCAGGCACTCACCATAGTTCAGCCTGTAGCAAGTTGGGCAATCGCTTTTCCCTCCAAACGTGCAGTACATCAAATCCTTTAGCCCCAAGCCTATCAGCCACAATGTCTGTTCATATATATATATATATATGTTAACTGTACTTTTTTCATAATGTATTTTATGAATCTTTTTTCTATTCTTATACATATATATATATATATGTATGTCCAGAGCCCTAGTTTGAAGCTCTGCACGTCTACATTCACAGTTATCTGTTTGACAGTTCGACCACGTCCATGCGCAACCTCTGCAGGTGGAGGCGAAGCGGAAGCAGGCTGTTGAGGCACCGGCCGTGCCATTGATAAACGTCGTATAGCTGAATGGGTGTCACATCAGTCCGAACCACTTAATTGGGACCATGGTGCACTTGTACAGTGAATCCGTACAGTACCACGGTCGATGAGGATCTACGAGGATGTTTCAAAAGAGAGGTCGGTAGGTGTTGTGTATGTGTGTGTGTGTGTGCATGCGCGTGTGGAGACATTGCTCACAGATGGCGTGTGTGTGTGTGTGTATGTGTGTGTGTGTGTGTATGTGTGTGTGTGTGTTGGGGTGCGTGTGTGTGTGTGTGTGTTGGTGTGTGTGTGTGTGTGTGTGTGCGTGTGTGCGCGTGTGTGGAACGTGTGTGCATGTTTGTATGTATGTGTTTCTGTGTGATTTTGACTCTTTGAACACATAATAATATATCCATGCACACACACACATATGCATGTAGTCTATCATACAGAACACACTGTACTCAGCGTCACAGAATATCGAATGTGCCTGGGGTGATCTCTTTTCTTGCAAACCTAAATCTAAGCCCCGAAATCCCATTATGCCACACAAAACTAAGATGCTAGAATCCACAATTACACCTTGCCATAATATGGATCCTTACTATGTTCCGCCCTAACGCTCTTTGAATCTTCAATGCCCCTACAAACGCTCTTAGTTCGGGCCGAAAGCCCCAAACCCTGACAAACCCGACACCCCATGAGCTTGATCTCCAATAGACCCTAAACCCTAAACCCTAAACCCTAAACCCTAAACCCTGCGACTCAGACAGGAGGCGGCCTTCATGAAGCTCTTGGCCGTCAACACGGAGCTCTCTGAGGAGCAGCAGACGGTCCTCAGAGGCTGGCACGGGTTTGCGTACAGGATGAGGGGTTTAGGGTCTTAGGGTTTAGGGTTTGGGTTTAGGCTATTTAGGGTTTGGGTTTAGGCTATTTAGGGTTTGGGGTTTCGGGTTTATAACAAGGGTTTCGGGTTTATAAGTTTATAAGGATTCAGGGTTTAGGGGTTAAGCGTTCGGGGGACTTGGCAAGGAAGGCTAAACTTGACTCAGGTGGGGTGATAAGTAAGTAGAGCTATAGCTACGTAGCCTCTGACAAAGTCGCACGACCCTTTTAGTAGGGCATATATAGGGCACAGTGGCTTTTGGAGTTTAGGGTGAAGGGGGGCGGGGGTTTGGGGATCTGGGTTAATATAGGGGCCTTGATAGATAGAATGGGGTTTGGGGGTGCATAATACTAAAAATATAACACGGAGCCCCCAAGAAACCCTATTCTAATTATTAAGGCCCCTTTTTTAAGGGCTTGAGGTTCCAGGTCCTTTCTGGAGACGAGGGTCTGGATGGGGATTTGGCTTCCAGGTCCCCTATCAGTATCTTTCATATCGGGGCCTAAGCAAATAATACTATTTTTGAGGGGTTCCTTATTATGTTTATGGTACAATATACACCAAAACCCTATTCCAATTATTAAGGCCCATACATTAGTTCTTGGAGTTCCCTACTCGACTGCATACTCGGAACTCGGAATATGATGAATGTGAGTGCGAACCGGAGTCTGGCGCTTCTAGGATTGAGGGTTTTCAGAATGATGTAAACCCCGCATAGTAAGACTCTCTTCCACTAAGATGCTCGGCTCTCCACGAAAATGGACGGGTGCCTGGTAATGTTATAAGTTATACGTCATAAAACTAAACACGAACCCGGCTAACATGGACTTAAATCCTAGGTAGCTTTCGCTACGGCTTCTACACCAAACGGCTACCAGTAATCCTCAAGACGTCTAGTGCAGCGCTTAAACTCTACCACCGTCTGAGGCACATATAGACGGCCGTCGGGGATGAGGGTCTTGAGAGTTCAGGGTTCGGCGCTGCTTTCAAGCTTAGGTTCCAGGCTTGAGGACTGATGCTTCTACGGTTTGTGGGCAGCATCAATCGGTGAAAGGGTGCTCCGACACATTCCCCAACCTTCTTTCCGAGGAGAGGCCGCCTCTGTGCTACTTTAGGGTTTAGGGTTTAGGGTTTGTTTTTATGTTGGGAGTTTACAGTGGCTAAGGGTTGAGCCCCGCGCCCGAACCTAGGCCCCATGGGCGCCCAAACACCCGGAACGTCCGAATCAGGGGAAATCATCAGTGCTTTGAAAGGCTACGAGACCGACTACGAGCTGGGAGCAAAAGCTGCACTCCGGGCCTTTATCGATTACTGCATACAGATGCCTGGCTCGGGGGTTTCGGGTTGATACAGGGGCTGTAGGGTTTTGAGGGAGTGGAGCTGTGGGTGCTACCCCCCACGGTTTAGGATCCAGGGTCCAGGGTTTCGGGACGAAGATGCGAAAGGCGGCTTGATCATTGGATCATTGTTTAGAGTGATTTCGGTTCCTCGGTACAGGGTAAGCCCAGGTTTTTCGGTTTAGCACAGCCCGGGTTTCTTACAGGATATAGTTCGGACGGCCGGTGGCAGGGGTCATGTTTCATTGCGTTCCGTCCTGGGTACTTGTGTTTTGGTCTCCCAGCGCAGAGCAATCACACATGATCTGAAAGACATGTAATTTGAATAGTGGAGCCCATGATCTGGAGCCGTAACGTAAACCCCAATATAGACGACTAAAGAACTACCAATATTACTGTATAGGGTTCCTTATATATTTTAATACTACTATAGAGGAGCCCAAAACCCTATTCGCATTAACTGAAGCATCCCAATGTTCAAGTCTCAGGAACTAAAGTAGGCGAAGCACGAAGCCTGGGCTCTACCTAGATGCCAAGTGATCAGGCGCAGTGCAACTCATGGAGGCTACAACTACTATGCCCCGAAAACCTGCAAAGTCCTGAAAACCTGGACCGAAGCCGATAAAAAACTGAAAGCAGGTGGGATTTCAGAACTTTAGAGAGCTCACTTCACGGCCTAGTTTCCATGCCACAGAAACCTCCCTAAACCCTAAGCCTTGAACCCTAAACCCTAAACCCTAAACATTGAACACCAAACCCTAAAGCCTAAACCCAGATGTCAGCCCGAAGCCGTCAAGGATCGTGAAGTCCGTGCCGCAGCATGGGGTTGCTGAGCCGTTTTTCAGAGTCTTTCTTTCGGTGTATACCTGTTTAGGGTTCAGGATTTACTAAGGGTTTAGGGTTTTGGGTTTAGGATTTAGGGTCTTTCTTTCAAGGTGGAAGGTTGAAGAGTTTGCGACTTGGAGTGGGGCTTCAGGGCAGCCTCTTAGTCCCTGAAACCCAACCTCCTCAAAGCCCTGAAAGCCAAACCTCGGACAAATTCTTTTAGAGCCTGCACCCCTGCACCCTAAACCCTATGGTTTAGGTTTAGGTTAAGGGTTTAAGGTTTAGGGTTTACGGCTTAGGGCTATAATCATAAACTCATGAAGAGTGTGAGTTAGGCGCTGACCTTCCGGGTCTGTTGAGTGGGTCGGACCTAAACCCTAAACCCTAAACCCTAAACCCTAAACCCTATGGAAACTTTTGGGTGTAGGGCTTTTGTGGTTTGGGGCTTCGGGTTCCTGACAGGCCTCCACAAAGAGGGGTAAAAGCGGTCTATGTGGAGTTGGAGTTTAGGGTTTGGGGTTTAGGGCTTCAGGGTATAGGGTTTCGGGGTTTAGGGTGTTCGCTTCCGATGAATCAGTGGAACTTTGGGCTGGAAGTTGGCGTTTCGGGGACTTTTCTCCTGGCTTGTGCTGGTTTGGAGAAATATAGGGGCCAAATAAATACCAATACTATTTTGAGCATTCCTTTTTCATAGTTATAGTATGATATACCCCCCAAACCCTATTCTAATCATTAAGGCCCCTACATTCGAGGTTTCGGCTTCATGCGCTGGGGGGGTGGGGGGGGAGGAATTTCGGGTTGGGCGCCCCGAAGGCCCAAGAGTTTGGGCTGCAAGTTAAGGTTTTAAAGATTCAGGCTTCGGATTGAAGTGTAAATATATGGGCCTTGATAATTACCTATACTATGTTGGGGGGCTCCTTATTATAATTGCTGTCCAAGGTCACCCAAAACCCTCCTGATTATAAAGGCCCTTACATTAATGGTATGGTGTCGAAACCCTGAACCCTACACCCTAGACCGCCATTTAGAAGCTCGCTGTTTAGGGTATCGTGTTGTTGAGACGCAAGGGCACTCGGCTGGGCGAGCAAGAGGGCAGCACTGGTCCAGGGTCACACCCCTCTGGTGGAACCTGATTGCGAAAGGACTGCCAAACTCCTTCAAGCCCGGAAACCTAAACTCAAACTTTCGGGAGAAGGGGCTCGACTGTTGTGGTTCAGGTGCTCCTGAAGGCCTTAGCACCTACATCCAAAGCCCGAGTGTCCCCCCAACAAAAACCGGTAGGCCCTACAGACCCCTTCCTCAACAATGTGGATCGCTTGAGTTTTGGATGGTAGGGTGTAGGGTTTAGGGTCACCCTAAACCCTAAACCACCCTATTCCGACGAGGTGAACCTCTCACCTTTGCAGCAGCCCGACGCAACGCCAGCTGCAGCCTTGGAGGCCGTGCGCGACGCTTCACGGGTCAACGACCAGCGCAGAGATGCCTGGGATAAGTGGCACCTGGGCCTCAGGGTGTAGGGTGTAGGGTTTACGGTTTAGTGTCTGCAGGGTTCTTGGTTGAGGGTGATTGGTTTGGGGTTAAGTTAAGGGTCTAAGGCTTTTAGGGTTTACGGTTTAGGGTTTGTATAGGAAGCATTAGGGTTGATTGGCTGTCTGGGCAACGATTTTTTCGGATTTCTTTGCATGGCCTTGCCGGGTTGTCTGGCGGAATTGCTTGCGAATTTTATCCCGGATTCTGCCGTGGGTTTTCTTAAGATTCTATTTCCCTCAATAGACAATCCGCGCACAAATTCGCGTGCACTGCCGGCCGAAAAACTCGCACACCGAAACATGCAAAATATCCGTGCAAACCTGGCCCAGAGACACAGGACCAAGAAGCAACCCATCTTAGGAAAACCCTGAACCCTAAACCCTAAGCCCTTATTGGCCAAGATCCTGCTATTTTCAGGCTTGTTTTCTGTTTCGAGCCATAGGGTGAGGAATGAACATCCCCAGGGCTCCAGGCTCCAGGTACCTAGGTCCTAGGTCAGACCTGGACCCTAAAGAACCTACCTTTTTTAAGGTTCCTTATTAATGACTTCCTCATATAGGTCCTCAAAAATAGGTATGTAGGTTATTTAGGGTCCAGATACATGATATGCTCAGTATCTCGGTTAGTAGCCTGCTGTTTAGGTATCTGGAGGCCTAGGGAATGTAAGGCGTTGACGGTGTCTGGGTCCCTTTTCCCACAGTCGCTCTTTAGTGGCTCGGAACAGCCATTCATAATGCCGCCCCTATCGGCCCCACCTCTTCAGACCACGTCACTGAAAGGGATATAAGGTCCCCATACTCAGACCTGTAACTTTGGAGGAGATTTGCCTAACCCTAGACCCAAACCTTAAACCCTACCCTAAACCCTAAACCCTAACCCTAAACCCTAAACCCTAAACCCTAAACCTCAAACCCTAAACCCTAAACCCTTCACGTTAAACCCTAATATGACTTCAGAGGAGACTTGCCAAGGCAAAAGTCTGTCGACTGCTGGCGTGACGTTCCGGAAGCCTTCGAGTCGCGGCGGGATTTGGCAGGAGCCCCCTCTTCGAAACGGTTACCGTTTAGGGTTTAGGGTTTAGGGTTTAGGGTTTAGGGTTTAGGGTACCTATATATTTCTTAAAGAAGGGTTCCTTATGAGTATAAGTATAGTATAATGCGCCCCAAAACCCTGTTCGAATTATTAAGGCCCCTATATTAGGGTTTATTGTTTAGGATTTAGGGCTTAGGGTCTAGGTTTTAGGATTTAAGGAGGGTTTATAGGGTTTACAGGCTTTGCAGGGTCCAGCGCCTGGGGTTTAGGATTATAGGGCTTACAGGGTTTGCGGAGTCTACAGGCTTTCTAGGGTCTAGCGTTTAGGGTTTGGGGCTTATAGGGTGTAGTTAGGGTTTCAGGCTTTATAGGGTTTGGGTAGTGTGTCAGGCTTTGTAGGGTTTAAGGTTTAGGGTTTCGAAATTTCGAAACAGTGTGTCTTAGCGGTAATTAGGGGTTTAGGCTTCTAGGATTCGCGTATAGACTGCAGGGAGGGTTTATGGTATGGGGTTTAAGCTTCAGTAGATGGGTTGGTTCGCGTTTGAAGCCAAAGGCCCTCCGCTCAGACCCAGCAACTCTTCCACAGCTGCTACGCCTTTTGGTTTAGAGTTGGGGTGTTTAGGATTTCGGGACCCTTGTGGGAGTTGAGAGCGAGGTTTCGCGATGTGATAGAATATCCAACTGTATGTGAAGGACCATAGGACTTAGTAAGTAGTTTCCAAGTAGAGATATAAGCACACTAACGGCGGTTGCTGATACTGCACTTGGAACGTTAGTAATTATAACCTGCCTGCTAGGTGCCCTAATGCTGCAAGTATGGTTCCAGGTAAAGGCAAACAGGATACCAATTTAGCACAAACTATAGGATTTGTCCTGGTGGTTTTCCAGTGGGGGTCCCATGTCGCTTCAGTCGCACACAGAAAAACCCGAGGGTTGTTCAACACCCTTGAACCTGCAACTGAGCCCCAACGCTGATACTAACGAAGTCTTAAACCCGAAAGCCTCCAACGGTCCTAGAGAGCATCCCTAGTAAGCTTCTTATATGGATCCCAAGAAAGCCCGACAAGCACCAACATAAAATTTTCAGATCCTAAGCCCTGCCAAAAATCCTGGTGGGCAGAGTAGGGATTCAGGTTTAGGGGTGGGGGTTTGGGGGTTTAGGGGCTTGGGGGTTAAGGGTTTAGAAGTTGGGGGTTTAGGGGCTTGGGGGTTATGGGTTTAGGGCTTGGGGGTTTAGGTTGTATCTCTTGAAAACCGACGTCAAGCTACGAATGCATTCCTGGACCCTGACAGAAGCGAACTTCGACAAGCGGGCGGGAGAGGCAAAAGCCAAGGACCTTAGGCGGATTGCCGAAGAGGTCGGGGGTACCCGAAACCCAAAGCCCTAAAACCCTAAAACCCCTAAACCCTAAACCCCTGAACCCTAAACTCCGAGCCCCGAAACCCTAAACCCTAAACCCTAAACCCTAAACCCTAAACCCTAAGCCTTTCTTTGTTGTTCTTGTGGGGTCAAGTCTTTTATGTTTGCACTGGGCTTTCAAGGAGTCAGGAGGGTCAGTGCCTTGTGGCTTTCAGTTTTACCTCCATATACGACGATATTATACTATAGTACACTAATATTGTGCCGTAGAGTTTAGAAGGTTCGAATATACTATAACATACCAAAAATTTTATGGTAAAGTTTAAAGGGCCCGGGCTTATGTTAAGAGCTCGAGGTCGGGGTGTTTGAGAACTTGAGGCTTCCGGACCTGCATTTCGCCGCTCTTTGGCCTCGACACCCCCGAACCCCGCGCCCTAAGTACTTCAGCCGATAAACCGATGTGAGTTGTTGTCCAACGTAGGGTTTCTTTTAGGCGCCTAAACCATAGGGTGCCGTAGTATTAAGACTAGAATTATGTGGGGTTCCCCAAAAGGAGGACCATGCTTTGGACAGTTGCCCCATATTACCATATAGCTATGTTGTGTGGTGGGCTAGAGTGTTGGGGCCTGGAGGCGCGAGCTGGATGCTTCGCGTTAGCTAAGAGCTTCGGGTTGAGTTACGAACTGGATCAACAGGCAGGTTTCAGATTTGTGCGTTTCAGGCTTCAGGCTACTAGGGGTATGAGTGAAGCGAAAGCTACTAAACCATGAACCCGAAAACTCCGCCAAAACCCCAATCCCCAAACCCAAACCCTGAACCAAAAATTCACTCTAAATCTTCAAGGTCTCCAACATTCAAGCCCTCAAGCCCTAAACCCTGCACCTAAAATTCCAAATCCGCGATCTCGTTGTTTTGGGAATCACCAGGTCAAGGCGAAGATTGACGCATGCGGCCCAGATGGAGAGAAATGACTCTTGCCTCGCAAGACTTGTTGGGGTTGTTGGGGTTTAGGCTAAGGGTTTCAAGAGGGTTTAGCGTTTAGGGTGTAGTTAGACTTCTGGTCCATTTACAAGGCGTAATGTTCCAGGTTTGGGGCGCATGCTTGGGATAATTACAGTGCTTGGCACCGAGAATTCCCCGTCTGCAACCGTTGGTGTTACATACCAATTTCAGCTTTTGGTGGCTGTCTAAAGTTGCCATAGTCGCTTGTCGTTGTCGAACCTACGGCGTTTCTATGATGCACACGTGCATACCTGCGTACTATTGCTTATACATATGTAGTGAGCGTTTTTCATACAAAGTTACATACATACCCTAAAACATACATGCATACACACAGGCGGACTGACAGACAGAAAGACAGACAGACAGACAGACAGACAGAGACAGACAGAGACAGACAGAGACAGACAGAGACAGACAGAGACAGACAGAGACAGACAGAGACAGACAGACAGACACGACGGACAGACAGAGACCGAGACAGACAACAGACAGAGACAGAGCCAATATGGTGGATGGGGCCGCTCCGACAAGCGGAGGGTGGGGACTGCCCGCCCTCCATTCCCCGGAGCAGAGCAAAGCAAACAGAGACAGAGACAGAGACAGACAGACAGACAGCCAGGCATGCAGGCAGACAGACGGACGGACAGACAGACAGACAAACGGACTGGCAGACAGACAGACAGATGCTCAGGGATACAAGCAGACACCCTTACGTACATACATGCATACATACATACATACAGGCATGTACACACATAAATACACATACCCACCCACGCATACGTACATACATACCTGTATTCGTATACAAAAATATATACATGAATACATCTGTTAAATATGTGCAGACAGACAGATAGACAGGCAGGCAGACAGACGTACAGGCGTGCAGACGCGCGAAGATGCAGACACTGCATATACATACATTGTACATACCTACTTTCTTGCAGACAGGGGTATGTACATACAGCATTCAGGCGTGCATACAAATGTGCATGCATGCATACATGCATACGTACATACGTACATACCTTCTAACATTCATTTCAATTCAATTCAATGCTGTTCGTTCATTCATGCATCCATCCTCTCAACTCAGTTCAATAATCCTGTCAGTTCAATAATCCTGCCAATTCCTTTTATTCCTGTATCCATCCATACGTCCATACATCCATCCATCGCTTCAATCATTCACTCACTCATTTACAGTCAGAGTCCTTAGTCGCATCGATTTCATGTGGATCCTTGCAGACACTGGGGGGAAGGGTCCGGGGAGGGTCGCATCAACTCTTCCTAAAATAGCGTCCACACTGGGGGAAAGCAGTTCGAAACCAGTCCTGGCATGTATCCCTTGAGAGGTTGCTTCTTGCCTGAAAAGCCATTTCGGCTTTGTTCCAATCGCTGGGTGATTGGGACAACAAGCGGAACCCGAAACCCCTGGTTCAACCCCTAAAACTTCGCCTTGGAACTTTACGTGTTGTAGATCCCGATACGCCCCCAGACCCTAAACCTGGAAAGTAGGGCTTTGATTGTTACAAGACAATTACCGGGCAATATTGGGATTTGAGCTTGCAGTGGCTTCGAAGGAGATGCTGTCAGCTTCGCAAATCATACACCTTTCGTATGAAAAGTTGGGCGTACAGTGCAAAGCCTGGGACATCTGCGACAAGCTTCCACTTGCATAACGTACCTTGAAGAGCTCTACCCTGGGTACGAGGCCATGGCCCTTGGGGCATGGCCAGATGGATTCCAAAAGGTAGCCCGATTCTTTATCGAAGATTTGCGAGCCCGCCCTCCCAAAGCGCCGTTGGCAGTGAAGTTTCGGAAAGACATCATCGATGCAGGAACCATGCAGACCAAGCAGAAGCGTAGTGGGACAAGCAGCGAAAGCTGCAGTTTGTTCCTTTTCCAGTTCAAGCCAAGAAGACGAAGTCGTAACTCCCGAAGCCTGGGGAAAATCGCGCCATGGAGTCTGTGAAGTTTAAGAGTTTAGGGGCTTAGTTTACGTGCACAAAGCCCCTGGTGGAGGGCTACATGCCGGATGCCCATGTTCTAGGGTAGGTAGGGTTTTGTACTCCGGAAACATGCTCAGACAAGAGGTTATATGGTTTCGGACAGGTTGTTTCAACCCACAAAACATGGTTTCGGATAGGGTTTTTCAGACCAGAAATATGGCTTCGGATAGTGTATTGGTTCAGGAAAAGGCTTTCGGGCAAGGTCTTGTAGTCCGAAAATATAGTGTCGGATAGGTCTTTCCAGTCCACAAAGATGGTTTCGGATATGGTGCCCTAGACAAGTCGTTTCGTTCTTTTGAGTGGCAATACAGAAAGAAGTCGTGCCTGCATGCTGCCATATGCATTTTCCGCAGTACTTGTCTAGATACTTGTCACAAATTATGTCCTTTCCTGCTAGTAAGCAAGGGGGTGATGTGACCATGATGTGACCCCATCACATCTGCTCAATAGTACTGGTAGCATCTTCCAGCACGAAACTGATGTGACTGCGGCCCCCCACTGCATTCACTCTCTCGCTTCCTCCCTCCCTCCGTCCGTCAGTCAGTCAGGCAGTCAGTCACTCAGTCATTCCTTCATGCACTCCTGCATTCATTCATGCATTCATGCATTGATTCATTCATTGATTCATTCATTCATTCATTCATTCATTCGTTCATGCATTTATTCATGCATTCATTCATTCATTGCTTCATTCGTACATTCATTCATTCATCCATCCATTCATCCATCCATTCATTCATTCATTCATTCATGCATGCATGCATGCATGCATGCATGCATGCATGCATGCATGCATTCATACGTCCGCCTGGTACATTCCAAACCCACACCCCGAAACTTCAAAGCCCGTAAGACTTTCAAGCTTGATGGTAAATTGCAACAGTTTGCCTCCTGAAGTCTTAATTCCAAATACACTCCAAATACAAATTTCAAAATCCTAAGATACTGTCCTCAAGATTTAATATTAACATCACCTTTAAACCTCTACAAAAGTATAAACCAAAAAGCTTCTTGTTAGTGGCCGCTGCACTAGCCGCCAGCCTGGCGACCGAGGCGAGTCCCAATTGGCAAGGATCCACGACGACTGGGTGAAAGCAACAGAAGAGTACGACAGAGCTGCCGAGGCATTCTCGGGTGAGGGCTCTGAAGGGTTCTATAAGCGTCGTATATGGATTCTGTAGCGGCTCGACAAGACAGCCTGAGGGTTCAGGGTGCTGGGTGTTCCGTGAGTCTCACTTTTGCTGAAGTTGTGGGCTCCGGGCATGTGTGCTGGTGTCATCGGGATTTGTGGGCTTTTTGGGGGGGTGTAGACTCTCGGGCTTCGCTTGATCCAAGTAGTCCATCAAATCCGAAACCCTAAACCCAAAAACCCTAAACCCTAAATAAACCGAAAACCCCTAAACCCTAAACCCTAAATAAACCAAACCCTCAGCCCTAGACCCTAAACAACCTCCTAGAACTGAGCGAGGATTCCGTAGTTCCGGTGTGTTAGAGCTTCAAGGCTTCAGGGAGGAATTACCGGTCCGACGTCATTTTGGCCCTGTGGCGAAAGCCACGCCATGACAGTCCAGCCTTGACAACTAGTATAGGGCTCCAAGGATACAAAGCGTACCTACTTTGGGGTTTAAAGTCTGTTAATAGTACCTACTTTGGGCTATTTGGAGCCCCAGGGTTAGAATAGGGCCTTGGGGAATGTTATACTATAGTTCTATTTAGGGGCTATTAAGATGCAATAAGGGAATACTCGTATTAGTTGTTTGTTTCTTTCCCACCCCCGTGTTATGTAGTTAGCATGGGCTTGGCAAGTTTATGTTGAGGTTCGGGGCTGTGGGGCTTCGAAGGCGGTACGGGCGAAGGCGACCATTGTGGGTAAAGGGCATGAGGCCTAGGGGCTTCAAGCAGGGGTGAGGCGTTGAAGGCTTTCGGAATGATAATAACAGTGACGACAGCAAAGAGAGCAATGTTTCTTCCAGCAATAGCCATAAGCGCAATTCTGACACGAAATGATGTCTCTGGGTCTCGGCATTCGGGTTTATGCCTGGTCGGAAGGCTCCTTCCAAAGAGCAGCAGCTGGAGAAGGGTGCCAAAGAACTGCGGAAAGCATTGTCCGGCAAGAGTTTGGTGCTTTCGCCTGTGCTCAACCGGGTTTAGGGCTTAGGGCTTAAAATTCCTAAACCGTAAGAAACCCCGCCGGTTTAGGTTCTAGGTTTTGCAAGGTTGGGGTTTGATAGCCCGGTTATAATGGGATCCAGGATTCAGAGTTCTTGAGCACTGGATTCCTGCGACCTGTCGGTCCGGAGTGGAGGGTTAAACGCCTTGAGCCCATTGGAGACTCCTAAAGAAGCCTAAATAATTACCAATACTTTTCCCTTGGAGTTCCTCATTATAACTATACTATAAAGGAGCCCAAAACCCTATTCTAATTAACTCCGAAATCAAAACTCCCAGGCCCAAGTCTCACGCGTGAACGCCAGAACCCCTCTGTCCCCTTTACCGTGCACCGCAAGCCAGCCAACTAGCTTCAACTACTTTGCCAGCTGACTACCCATAGGCCCCATAGTAGTTCCTTTTGGGGGTTGATATTCAGAATCCTATAAGGTAATCCCAACAAGGAACTACTATGGGGCCTATGGGTATGATACAGAGTCGCACATTTCTATAGCGGCGACAAGCTTGCCTCGTCGCATGCTGTTAAAACAAAAGTAGCAGAACGGAGAGTCTCCACTAGACATGACTTAAGTAAGGAATATACCTTAAATCATAATAGTAAGGCCCCTATAATTTAAGGTATATTCCTTATTTGAGGGGTATTGACCGAGGTCTTCAATGACCATCCATGGACAGACCGGGAGCCTCCCAGCACCGTGGAGAAGAAGATGCAGCGCTCCTGGGATGCGTCCGAAGTTGAAGCCAACCAGGCCCTGATTTAGGGATTAGGGTTTTAGGGTTTTAGGGTTTTGGGGTTTAGGGTTTAGGGTTCAGGGCTTAGGGTTTAGGGTTTAGTTGAAGCCAATCAGGCCCTGATTCGTGAGATCGCTGAGATCCTGAAGAAATATCCGAATCTGACTTTACGGATCAAGGGCATCTCCGACGGCTCTGGCTCGGCTGACAATCTTACCCAGGTGGCTTTCGCCAAGGATTTCGAGACAGACTTTCCGACGGAGGTGATGGACAAGACTTTGCCCTATGCTCAGGGCCGTGTGTTAACGGTCAAGCGCATGCTGGTGGAAGAAGGCATTGCCCTGGATCGGATGTCCTCGCAGCTGCAGGAGGGGAAGAACAGGTCGGTGGACCTTGCTGTGGAGTAGCATGAGGGGCCTTGAGACCTCGCAAGAACATCCCGCAGAGTCCTTATACAGTTAGACTGTAGTATGCCACCAAGCCCTGTTCTAGCTAGTTGTCAAGGCCCCCCCATATGACACCCACCCAAGATATTCCGAATCTGCTGCAAAAACTTGTTCGAATTGTTAAGGCCCCGTACATCTGCCAGTCTGGGTTGGCCCAGGTAGCCCGAGGGCACATATTTTCCCTCGCATGCTTTAGAGGGAACTCCTGATGCGCTCCTTCTTCGTGGTGAAAAATGAGAGGAATGTCGATTGATAGATTTAGGGTTTAGCGATCAAAGATTCATCATGGAGCTCCTCCACATTTCTAGGTGACTCTCGCTGGGGTTGTGGCAAGGACGTTCATTCAGCAATGGTGATCACATGAGCCCTAAACTCCTAAACCTTAAAGCGACGCAGCTTGACGAGCAGGTTGTATCATAGTTATCCAGGTTGCTTGTGGCGAGATTGGGAATGAATTTCTGAACAGCGGACCCACTTAGGACCACCAGATACAATAGTCCGGCTTAGGAACCTGCCAGAGGTGAAAGGTATGACAGGACAGATTCAGCATGTGTCTCGCGCATATGTGTTGTCCTCTTCAGCCAGTCGTAGGTCGCAGATGAATCATAAACTGCACAACTTTTCCACGCTTGCATACAAGTCGCAGGGGCTGTTGGCGGAGTATGACATTGCCTGCCACAAAGTTCACTCAGGACATACCAAATCCAAAACAAGTCGGCTCCGTCACTGTCACATAAGCCTACGAGGGGCCACCTCAATGTATAGCAGTGCGTGCTGTCTTGCCGCCTTTTACCACGGCTCCACTGCCACTGTATATTCAAGTTGAAGACGTGATTTCCTTGGCTGAAGGGATGTCTTTCAAAGTTCCATCCTCAGAAACTAGTGCTTGTCTTTCGTCGTTGTCTGCGCAAGCGTGTCCTAGTCACTAGTCTGGTCAGTCAGGCCTGTTCTCACTATGCTTGTCAAGTTGCACTTCGTGACTGCATTGGTCTCACTTTCCACACGAAAGGCAGAGGCATATGCACGAGGACTGAGGAGGATCGGGCTTTGACGAAGAAATCTTCCTATTCTTTTGGTTCTTTGCAATCCTGACTTCCTGGGATCCGTCTATGTTATGTGATTTCTGGGTAAAGCCCCTAAACCCTAAACTTGCCCTAAACCCCTACATAAGCCCTAAACGGCATAGTGGATCATGGGAGTCTTCAAAATGGAAGCTTGGTGCCTGATGGTCACATGCCCTTTAAAGGAGACTCAGTGGACATAACATAGGGGGGGCCTCGATAATTACCTATACTATTTTGGGGGTTCCTTAATATAATTACAGTATAGTGGGCCCCGAAAACCTATTCTAATTACTAAGGCCCCTACATTAAGTGACATTAGTGTGTTTAGTGCTAGGGGGAACATGATTTCCCTGAAGATGTTTACATCGTGTCGTAGTTTTCTCCACCACGGATACTAGAAGGGAACATAGCAGCACAAGGCCAGTATGAATGTTTGGACAGGGCTTCAAGCTTGATCCATCACATGGCTTACGGGTAGGGTGTACCGAGCGACTGTAGTGGCAGAGAAGCTGGACCGATGTGGGGTTTATGGCTGCGGCCCGAAGCAGCAAAGCTGCGTGTCTGAAGTGGCCAGCCAGTGTTCTTATGTGACGGTGGGAAGTGCCCCACAAGGGGAGCACGCTTCAAAAAAAAGAGGTGTACCCCCATAGTCTCCATGGTAGTTTCCTAGGTACGCAAGAATTCTATGGGTCGTGAGGGTAACACCTTGGGCCCGCGGCCGCACATCTCAAACTTCGAGCACTCAATGCCCTCAACCCTGTACACTGCCGAGCCGATCAATCCAGCAACACCACACCGCAGGGTTCGGAGTTCTGGAGGGTGGCTTTGCAACTTGATTGGGTGTAACGTCCTCCGTCCGAGCGCCGAATGCCGACACACCCAAGGGCGATGGGTTCAGGGATTTTTAGGGTAAACCCTGGAGTTTAGGCGACTTATGGTTTATACATTTATCGGGTTTAGGGTTCAGAGGTTTGGGCCTAGGGTTCAGGGTTAGGGTAGGTAACTCTTAGCCATGTGAATTTGGGGTATTCTTCAACAGTACGAGACTTGAAATGTCGAAAATGCGTAAGTTAAGTATACCCCGGAACCCCAAGACCCAACCCCCCCAAAACTGAACGCGAAAGGTACCAAGAATCTTGAAGCAGCCATACACGCCCAGCATCCCAACTCTCTGATGCCCGTAACTTAGTGAGGATGCAGGATGGGGTAATGGGTATTACAGACGGACAAGAAGATCTATACAGGATTTAGGATTTGGGATGATTTCCCCTAGTCACAGGACCCAGAACCGAATATTTTATGTAGGGCTGGCAGTGACTTCGCAGCACTTGGTGATGGTTGTGGGATATAGGGTTGTGGATTTAGCCTCTTGATCCAGGGATTCGGTGTTCGTGGGCTTCGCATTCTTCTTTCTAGGCTGCTCAGTGTGTAACAGATGGTTCGTGCTATTGAAACTGATGAGCTCTGTCTTAAATGGCCCGTAATTTGGCGAGTCCTGGTTCCAATGCGCACTCATTTTCCGGGACTCTGCTGTTACGGTGCCTCTGAAGATGCTAGCGGCTACCGATATCTGCTGGAGCTCTTCAGACCCTAAACCCTAAACCCTAAACCCCCTACCTGCGATATCCACTTTGCCCAAGAACGTCATAAGCTCAGCTCGTCAGGTTCCCGCAGACCAGGCAGTCATGATCCCCCATGTAGCGTGCGCCAAGCACTGTACATGGACAGCAGCATTGGATTATGATGTGCCGGTTCGAGTTGACACTGCCTCAGAGCAACGATTTTCAGGCCTGTTTAGTTTCTGCCCACAAGACTTGGTTTAATCAGGTGTGCTTTGCATTCAGGGCTGCACTTAAGATTCCAATTCTTCGGCGGCTTACTCCAGGATTGAGTGTTCATAGGACACTATTTGAACCTCGGTCTCTGACTTCAAACCTATCGCAGAAGTTCCAGAATACCACCGGAGCCCGAACAGGCAATACAGGGGCCTTAATAATTAGAATAGGATTTCGGATTTCGGGGTTTGTTATACTACCCAAAATAGTATTGGTAATTATTCAGGCCCCTCCATTGGCGTACAAGTCCCTCCCTTTATATCTCCCTCCGGTTCCCATCCGAATGCCCTAAACCCTGAACCTTGAATGAAAAAGCATACACCCTAAACACGAAATCCGCAAACCGACTAAACCCAAAACGAAAGCAACGCCACTGTGTTGCTTCAGGTACAAGACGGCCCATATCTCAGTCTGGCTGTTCTAGGTATAGAGTCGAGGGGGTTTAGGCTCTCGCGGTTTAGGGTTTAGGTTTCGTCCCCACTGTTCGTTTGTAGATGTTTTCCACTTTCGAATGCAAGTTGTGACATACCTCTGCTCTAAACGTGTCCTCATAAGCCTCCAAAGTGCGACTAAGCAAGATCCTATGCTTCAGCACCTAAGTACCGACTCGTACAGCTTTGCTACTGTTTGCTACTGAGAGGTCTCAATGTATTTTTTTTGCTGGTTCAAACACAAACGCAAGAATGCTTAGTCCAAGAAGCCTGACACCTTACCCCCAAAGCCCCACGACCCAAAACCCGTCGCTTACTCCAGTCCCTTGCCATAGAGGAGCCGCGCAATGAGACTGTTCGGAGTTACAGGTGCGCTTTTGTAAGTGTCAGTAGCAAGTACTCTGCAGACAGCGGTAGACATTTCAGTAATACGACAACAAGAAGTGGAAGTACTGTTGGCACACCGGAGCGGCAGTAGGACTCGCAGCAGCAGCAGAGCAGGATTACTACTACTATCCTCCTGCTCCTACTACTGCTGCTCCTCCTGCTGCTCCTGTTTCTGCTGCTAGTAGTACTGACGCAGCCGATTAGACGGGGAGACAGCTGTGTAATGCCCCCAGCACCCAGGGTGTATAAGGCTGAAGGATGGAGCAATGCACGACAGCAGGAGCAAGCTCGGAACAAGGCTACAACTACTGCAGTCGACCATGCTTCGTTGGGGTCCCCTTTCTGCGCTCCACGCCTCAATGCCCTCAATGCACCTGTAGCTGAACCTTTCGTAGGCCACACGTCTATGCCCAGCTGCGAAGCCTTGGGACCGAAAGCCAAAATTTCTTAGACACGCTAGGTCGAAGCTCTTCGACGGCGCATGGAGATTACAGTCATGGCACTCAGAGACTTTGCTGTTTGTTGCTTGGTCTTCCCATGTTTGCAGTCTGGCTTTCTAGTGTTGGCGTAAACCCTAAACCCCAAACCCTAAACCCTAAACCCTAAACCCTAAACCCTAAACCCGCCTAAACCCTAAACCCGAAACGAAACCTGTACAGGATCAGCCCGTAGCAGCGCGGGACTCGTGAACCTCCCCTTATCCTTGAACCCTAAGTCCGAGAATCCTTAGGTTCCCAGTAGGAGACTACGCACTTGGGTCTGTAGATTTAGCGTTTACCCATAATTAGGCCCCATAGTAGTTCCTTCTTGGGATTACCTTATGGAATTCCATATATGAACCCCAAAAAGGAACTACTTTAGGGCCTAGGGGTAGGGTTTAGGGTTAATGCTATCTCAGGTACAGTACCCCAAGCTCTGAAGGTGAATCCTAGCTCAAATGCAGAACCTTAAAACCCTGCGACGCCTAAGCCCTAGAGCCTACACAAAAATGTAGGGGCCTAAATAATAATTTTATAATTATAAGAAGATGGCCCCCCAAAACCCTATTCTAATTATTACGGCCTCTAAACCCTAAACCCTTATAGTAGCCCTTTTAAGGCTTTAAAGGAGCCCTATTCTAATTATTGGGGCCCCTATGTTACTTAGGCCTCAGCCTTCTCTTGGGCTGCCAGTGGCACGGTGTAGCTCAGTGGTGATAGGATGTAGGATTAGGTCAGTGATACTGTTGATGATATAAATCCTGC